ATACAAATATACAGTCAACTTTCAGGCTGCCTGGAAAAATACGGAAATGGGAAGACGGGCGGTGATGGAGCGGTTCTAACCCGGGACCCCCAGGTCACAAGTTGGTGACCTTAGCGTACTCCGCGTACGCTCATATATCACCCAGGTTTCAGCTCAAAAAGTGACGTCAGTTTTTCCTGTGAACTGACCATGACAGCTCTCGCGAACCACAGCTCTGTGACAAGCAACTTGCAGATGGAACAAGCTCTTGTGAAGTGAGCACGGCTACGCAGAAGCGTACATCCGTTGACTACAAAATGCATAGCAGCGCACCAAATTGTGTCGGGATACATTCACTGACAAATAGGTTAAAAAAAGGACCAGATAGTTGGTCTGATTCAAACTGTCATGTTGTGTGCACACAAAAGAGTTATGTGTGTTGAACACAAAGTAGATAAGGGAAGAGGTAACGGGATCGGTCAAGTGTTGCACATTGCACGTCATTCCGCCAAAAGAACGAAAGATATATATTGGAGCACTAAATTTTCACTTCTCCATCTAATCCGTCCATATACCCGGTTAGCAAAATGAATCACGACTGGATTTCGAATGTCAAAGTTCAACTATGACCCGTGTGCCAGTACCACACATTGTAGAATACTCACCTTTCGATTTTCGTGGAGTCAGACAAATTGGTTCAAAAAAGGTACGGATCAACAACCTCTTTACTCTCGTCGTCACAATTTTACGCGAGTACCGACTGATCTTAGTAAATCTCCCTCTATTTGCACATACAGACACACACAGCGAGTGAGAGACAGATTTTTTGTTTGTTTAACGTTAAAAATACCCAAAAGTACTGTGACCGTGACACACGAGAACTAACTACTCCAGGGATTTGCAACCAGTTGGTTGTCGACATAACTTTTGTCAGTTTACGAGGAAAATGAACGGTTTCAGTTATCAGTTTCTGCAACCTTAAACTATACACTTACAAGCGCCATTTTTCGTTGCTTTCTCTCATAAGTTCCCACGCCGATGAAGAGTGAAAACAGGGAATTCATGAAGACTGAGAGAAATTGAGATGCATGAACGCCACAGGGTGAGACACCCAACTATATCACTCAGTGTCTCAATCCATTGATCACGGTACCGATGTCCTCATTCAGAAAGCCTAAAGCAACCTGTGAGCAAATTTTCTGATCCCAAATTTTCATACCCACATACCGGGTCTGAGTTGGAGCACTCTTTACTTTTTCCACCTATCACATACCTCAATAAACAACACGCGCCGTGACCATCTAATTGTTGACATGCGCAACACGTGTCTATGGAGGTCGGCCACTAGCTTCAGTGAATGATCGAGGTTACCTAACCTCTGCACTGCTTGGCCGCTTGCCCCACGAGATTCGTGCAATGCGGCGTAGACTGCGATGTTCGAACACCGACAGTCAAGTTTACCCTGTTTTCGTAATCATCAAGTCTCTGCACCTTAGAGCATAAACGGCCTAACTGCTACAGCATATACTCGATCCTTCACGGACAGCCGGATGTCAGGACGGCGCAGCAGATGTCTTAAGTTGTTAAATACCAATCAAGCCTTCTGTGTACTTACCCACACTTCATCTGTGATGCGTCCATCGGTTGAAATATAAATGCCCAAGTGGCAAACGTTTTTTAACTTCTGTCACTTCCCCATTTTTAGTGAGGTTGGGAGTAACAACATTTTACACGTTGAAGGTGCAAAACGCATGCCGAACATAGCTATACTAACACTCAAACAATTCAGAAAAGATTTAAACTTACTTGGGTCTCTAATTAGCAGTGCGATGTCGCCTGCATACCCCATATCAGACAGTTTGCCACCCGGCAGCAAATAGATGTCACTACTCTCTCATGAGGACCGGTCTGTTTCAAGAAAAAAATCCGTGGTGAGCTCGGACGTAAAGGTGCCGTAATCTAGGACTCGGCTTCGGCTCTTAGTAAAAAGCAATCGCGAAACCGAAATCCCTGGGGTACGTCCTTCAAAGAAAGGCAGCGCCGGAGTACAGAGTGATCGACCAAGTCAAAAGCGGCTTTCAGCTCGTGTCTGCGTTCTGGAACTCGGCGACAAGTGAAAACGTGATCGACACAGCCCTGACGGGGTCTAAAACGAACCTTATTCTGACGTGTGCATCGTTCACATGCGGCAGACAATCGACGGGGTGTATGACACCAGCGAGCAGTTTAGAGGCAATGTTGATCAAACTAATTCCACTGTGGTTTTCACATGAACGCAGTCACAGTTGACCCGGTTTCGATACTGTTACTGCTATCTCATAAGAACGGCACAGTGATTGATTTGATCGAAGAAAAAACAGGTAAACACAATTTGACAAAACAGTCGGTAAGAATTTCACTGTAACCTATTTTTATTCTTCCGTTTTCTGGCCCCTTGTGCGCTACTGAATGATGAGATGAATGTTATTTTGATTCAACTTTACCAAACATGATTTCAATCAGAACTGTTGGATAAGTCGGTTCCACGGACCCCCATGAGATGCTTGGCAGTAGGATAAACAGAACGCTCCTCAGGACCGTTTGACCCTTTCATTTGATTTCGCAGTAATGGTAGCAGTAGTATAGTTCGTTCGCCTTTTTCTGTAAGGAGTTGCGGAATGAATGTGAGCAGTAGCGCGGGTCACATTCATCCCATCGCAGTACCCACATCAGACATTTGTGGTATTTTGTGGGGAAAAATTTCACCAGTCTACAGCCTACCACGTCCTCTGATACTGCCGTTTCTCGATCACTATTGCTTATTCAGCGAGCATGATTCCGCATTAGTCACGACAGTTAGGCATTGATGCGATGCTGATCATTGCCCCATCAACAAAATGGGGAAGCGCCGAGGAACAGGGTTTTCATCAAACGATGCATTCGGAAACAACGGAAGGTGAGGTGAATATTCACATTTAATGAGGAACAATCGTGCGTACTTTCTTCTATGCTATAAACAGACTTGTGGGACTAGCGGAGGGTTAAAATACTACAAGGGGGCTGGGCGGGGAGAGAGAGAGAGAGAGAGAGAGGGGGGGGGAACTTGCGCGCCAGTAGACTGGTTCGAACACGACACTTGCGGATCTATATGCTTATCACGTTTGAATGCCGCCACACGAAAAAGTAGAAAAAAGTATACCATGTACTGTGTCTGTTTGTGGTTTGCCTCCGTGTAAATGGACGGAAGAAACAGAAACGGACACGTCAGTGAGGAGCACGTAATAGCTGGTGGATACAAACCGGCAAACTTACCACTGTGAATACGATTCCCACGGATGCCGTGGACGAATGTCCAGATATGAATGACAGGCTGTACAGTTCAGAAAGAAAGAAAGAAAAACTATTTGTTAGTTGATAAACCGGTTGATTAGAACTGCGACCAACATGGTTGCCGAATGGATGACGAATGCACAATAACTGAAAATGCTAAAACGAGAGATGAATGTAGCTCGTTCTGAGAGTGGAATGAATAAGTATTCGTAGGGCTTCGGTAGTTTCACTTGTTTCCGCTTTGTCGGAATGCAACCAGGAGTTGTGTGTGTAAAATATCAGCGAGCATAATCTTGTTACCCAAATTGTTGTGAAAGTAATGTGCTGAATACAACTGAATAAATAAATAACACGAAATACTCAATTTTGATCCCTTTCGTAATCTGATCTATTATTACCGTATCTCTCTTTCTTATTCTCCCTTGCTTAAATCAGTGATCAATTTGTTACTTCCCAGTATACATAACATCGAGTTAGTGCCAGTATCCAAATTTCAACAATTACAGACACTCTCCTATCCTCTCGCCTACTCGAGTGTGAACTTGAAGTGTGGAACTTCCTTTTCATTTATTATGAAACACTTAAACCATGCACACGAACACACACCGGATTTCCGGCTCTTACAGAGGTGGTGCGGGCCAAACACGTACAGTAAATAGCATGCCTCGAGCCTCTTAGGATCGAGCTACGAACCTCAAAATACCGGCAGTGAAAAGTAGCTCCATTATGGTGAACTTCAAAAACAAATCCATCTTATTTTGCTATGGACTTGCGCAGCTCACCGCTCCTAG